TTTTTAGAGAGTAGGCTTAGTACACAAGGTAAATGTATTTGACACTATTGAACTGTACACTTAAAAATGGGTAAAATTGGGGGAGGGAGGAAAAGTAGAAATACTGAGGATTAACATGGAGCAAATTATATTCCATCCATGTATGAATATCAAAAGGAATGCCATATTATGTATAACTATAATGCACTAATAAAAATATTAAAAACGGGGGCTGGGGTTATGGCTGAGCAGTAGAGTGCTTTCCTAGCATGTGTGAGGCACTGAGTTCGATTCTCAGCACCACGTGTAAATAAATAAAATAAAGGTGCATCAACTAATAAAAATATTTTAAAAAAATGTTAAAAATGGTTCACATGTTTAATCCTGTAATGTGTGTGTATGTATATATATATATATATATATATATATTTTTTTTTTTTTTTTTTTCCTGTAATGTATATTTTAACAGAGCTTTCTGGATCAAGAGTATTGGTGTGGTGGTGTACGCCTGTAATCCCAGCGGATGCTGAAACAGGAAGATCACAAGTTGAAAGCCAAAAAACAAACTGGGGATGTGGCTCAGTGGTTAAGTGCTCAATCCAGTACCAAAAAAACTACTAATAATAATAATATGCATTTTTAACAGCAACAATATTGCTTACATCAAGACCAAAATTATTGTGTGTGTGAGAGAGAAAGAGATAAAGAAGTACTCTAGTATATAAACAGATACACAGAACATCTGTGGCATTCAAATTCCATGAAAGCGAGGTAGTGATTAGGAGGAAAAAACGCCCAAAGGGCTTCCTAGCAGAGAGGCAGTAATGAAAACAAAACCAACCAAACAAACAAAAAATGGTTTCACATTTAGCTGCAACATGCACTAGTGGATAACAATTGTTTTTGTGACTGTTTTCTCAGCTATGTTAAGATTAAATTAGTGAATGCATGCATGTAAAGCAATACCCATTCCAAGGCAAGTGCTTAGTGCTTAACAAATCTTAGCTATTTTGATGTCAATATTCTGGTTAATAACCACAAAGAGAACTCCACATGTTCTAAGAGTTTAATGTTAGTTATATGACCTTTGTTGATTAAAGATATGTGTTTAGATTTTTCCTTTCCCCAAATCCCAATTCTATGACAATAAAACAACACACACACACACACACACAAACACAGTCTCCTTTAAGCATCCCCAGAGCCTGAAAATACATCATACTCCTAGTTTTATGACTTAGCCAAAAGGAACAAGGTTTAGACCTGAGGCTCATCATTAGACACAAATCAACCACAGATTTCTAGAAAAGAATAAATGGACTTATGTTGATAGATTGTTAAAAAAAAAAAAAAAAGGAGGTGTGGTGGGGAGGCTAAGATGCAGAATATTGCATTGGAAACTGGAACAGTTGTATCTGCTCATAGATGGTCATAAATTGGTAAGCCCCAAGGTCTGAAGATATGTAAAGAATGAGTTGGTGCAAGGGTAAAAATCAGTCGCTTTTTGTCCCCCCCCCCCCTTTTTTTTTCCCCCCAGTGCTGGGGATTGAACCCATGGCCTTGTACATGCTGGGCATGTGTTCTGCCATTGATTTGCACTCCCAACCAATGATGATTATTTGAAAAAATGTCTCTGGAATTGCTTTCCTCTCCTTTCACAGTGGTGGTACTATTGACTCTAAAACCAAATCATCAACTAATCTCCAATGAAATGGAGAATCTGGATAGAAGCAAACTTTCAGATTTATATAGCTATCCTTACTTTCTCTTTTTTCCTTTCAGTGTTGCGGGGACACTAACAGGGGCAAACATGCTGTTCACCATTTGGGGACCCTCAACTGAAGTCACTAGTCTTTTTCTTTAGAGTCCAGTAATTTTATTAGACTATGTCTTGGTAAATCAGGTACAGGGTACAGTCTTTTAATACACAATTTTGACATTCATTTTAATTTTAGGAAAGTTATCTCTCTATATATTTATTTATACATTTATATATGGTGTTGGTGGGCCTTTATCTTATTTATTTATAAGCAGTGCTGAGAATCAAACCCAATGCCTCACAAATGCTAGACAAGTGCTCTACCACTGAGCTACAACACCAGCCCTAGGAAAGTTTTCTTTTAGTATTTGTTGTTGCATTTTTTCTCAGGAACCCCTATTGCTTACAATTTTCTCTTCTTTCCATCTCTTTTTTCAACCCGTCTTACAGCATTATTTGCCCTTGCCTTGCTTACATTTTAGGTTTCATTTCTAATTTTCTCTAGGTTCTGTCATCTTATCCTGCAGTTTTCATAATTGATATATTGTTCTTTCATATAATTTTCTTAGTGCATTTCAGCTCATTCTGAAAGACTGGGCTATAGTTTTGCTGTTCTGTGGGCATGTTTTTAACTGCAAAAAAAAAAAAAACTTCTGGGGGAGGCCTTGGGGGATCAGTCCAGGGCCTTGCACATGCTAAGTGTGTGCTCTGCAACTGACCTACATCCCTAGCCCTTTACTGTATGTTTTTAATGTCTGTAGCAATGTATTTTCCCTATAATAACTTTGTATGCAATCTAACTTCAATACTTTTTGTTGCTCATTTCGGTGTAAATTTAATTTTCTTGAGCTTTTAGAATGAGTAGGGTTTCAGAAAAGCTTTGACTTAACAAAGCTCCCTCCTCTGGGTAGTATTAAAAAAATTTGGTGGTTGTTTTTTCAAGATTTTTTTTGACTATAACACTCCTTAACTTTTATCTGAATAGTCCCCTCTTTTCTCTTCTTGTCTGTACTGCACGCTTTGTTATAAAATTTTATTTCACTCTCAGCAGTTTCTCCTTAGAGTGGGCTCTGCCTTGGCAAGCCAGTTTTGAGAATGCATAGGAGGGATACTGCTCCTGTCTCCTTGGTCTTTCAGAATAAAAGCTCTCCATTTTGGCTATGGCTATCTAATTGACTAGCACAGTCTTTCAGTGAATACCTGTCAGTTGTTCTGGAGTTCTGGTCTGAGGTCCAACATGCTTCCTTTTTCCTCATGCTTTCTTTGTCCTCTTCTAGCAGTATTTTGACCCCAAAGTATCATGGAGATACCATGTCACAAGGTTTGTTGCAATTGTTTTATTGATTTTAAGTTTCACTATCTAGTTTCACTTTCTGTTTTCATGTGAAGATTTAGAGGCTGAAAAACTGTGTTACTGTCACCACCATTACCTTCCTAGAACCCACTCCTTCTCCTAATTCCTTCTTCCCTGGACTAGTTTCTGAATCACTGTGACATATTGAGGTATTGCCATCTTTAAGTATTACTTGGAGAGTAGTTGGTAGCCCTTAGTGTCTTTGTGATCAGATATCTAACAATATCACTTTGGTGCACCTAGTTTTAAGGTTTACTACAATGAAATTTTTTTAACAATCCTATTCTCAGTTTCTATCTAGTGTAAAGTATTCACAAAACCTATCCTTAGTGTCCATGTGATAAAAATGCCTTTAAGATTACTTATGTTTTCAGTAACAAAATTCCTCAGAATAGAGAACCCAAAATATTTTCACCAAACCAAGCTCTGTACTGAATAAAAATATTATCAAACAAATTATGTGTTATCAAGTCATTCTGAATAGCATTCACCTTATTTTTTCATTTTAGAGGAAAAAGTGACTCAAATACTTGTTGATTGAAGGGTCCAGGAAAAGCCAGTTTGTCTCTATTTCTGCAATATACTGGTATCCTTTTAAACCTTCCTCCCAGGAATAAATGTCCCTCTATGTCCAATTCAACTTATGCTCTAAACAAATGACAGATAAGCTAGCATTTTGGAATTTCTGGTAAGCTTTTTCTAAAATCTCAAATTAGATTGGAATCCAGTAACAACAACAACAAAAAAATCCTCTGCAGAAGTTTAGTGCTATCTTTAGGCTTTTAAGCACTTGAAAAAAAATTAAACCATAATGTAATAACTGCCACTATTAATACAATGCTACCGAGTAATTTAATCAGGTATATAAACTTTCCAAATGACTCCCCTCCCCCACCCCCGTCAAACATAAAACGTAAAAAAGATCTATTAAATTCATTAAAAGTAAGAAACACTAAAATATCCCCCAAAGTCTAGTTTACCTAACAGACCACTGTTTTCTTTTCACAGTTCCAATACATAAATATACATTTTGGACTCTACACATAAACATTGTTCTGTGGTCACTGCATGCCAAATGTTATTAGCACCAATAATGTTCTCGTGCTCTCTAATGCACTGAAGCCTCTAACGCCCTCCCCCGGCCCTATTATTATTATTTTCATCATTATTATTTTTGTTATGGCAAAAGGGGGTTGATATTGATACCTTTTTTCCTTTAGAGGTACTGGGGATTTAACCCAGGGTCGCTTTACCACTGGGTCCTTTTGATAGTTTCCAATCCTTTTTATTTTGTGACAGGGTCTCCCTAAGTTGCCAGGCTGCCCTCGAACTTGTGATCCTCCTGTCTCAGCCTCCTGAGTAGCTGGGGGAGTTGATAATGTATTTGAGATAATTGAAAAGGCATCATAAATATGAACCATCAGCCACGACAAAAAGTCTAGGTGCTGGGAGCGAGGTAGGTGGGATGCAGCCCTTTCTAAGGGAAAGTAAACAAGGTGATTCAACCGCGGAGGCGGCTGTTATGGTTTGTACGTGGGTCAGCTCCTTTGGTGGGCTCGGGGATCTACGAGGGTCTGTCCTTCAGCTTCACCCCTCCATCAGGGCGGAGGAAACCTGCAGCTCCCTGCTGAGGGAAGGGGCGAACTCTCGGAGCGTTCCCACCCAGGACTTATTTCCTAGTCGCGGAAGGCCCTGCCCGGGCAGGAGCTGTCAGACTAGCCGGGAGCCCCGCGGGTCTGCGCACAGGAACGCATCCCGCCTGTGGCACCTCAGTCGGTTCACCCTGCGTCCTCAAACCTCCCATCCCCCGGCCTACGCCCCTCCGCCAGCAGAGAAGAGCAGGAGGAAGCTGGAAAGCCGCGGTCCCGGGGTCCTCGGCCTTCTGAACCGCCGCCCGCGCTCACCCACCTGATGCTCTTTCACCACTTCGCTGAGGCAGGGGTACCGCTCCGAAATCCATCGGTAAAACTTGGGGACTCCCATTTCGACAGTCAACACTAATTGCAGACAGGGCCAAACCGAAACCAAACGCCCCGCCGGGGCCTACGCCTTCGCCTCCGGCCGTCGCTCCGCCGATGACAACACACCGCCCAACCGACCATAGAGAGCGCCCTGCGCGCCTAGAGCGGCGGGATCCGCGGCCGCGTCCCGGGGCGGGGCTTATTCCCGTCGGCCTCGCCGCCTGCGGCCCAGGTGTTGGCGGCGGCCTAGGAGCTGCGAGGATCTCTGGACCTTAGCCCTGAGAATGCCAACTGATGGGCTGTGCTTTGGAAGCGGTGTGAAAACCGCCAGGGATTGTTGGAAGGGTGCTGAACACCGACTTTTGTCCTGGCTGCTTCTGCCTCCTGGTGTTGCTAATCAGTATTTTTTCAGCACGGATTTAGAAAATGTCTAGCGATATATTTGGCTTTATTTTGCGAGAGCGCGTTATTTTCTCTTAGGAATGTAAGCCAACAGTAAAGTTTCCTTTAAAAATATTTTTTGGAAAAAGGAAAACCCGCAAACAAAAAACAAAGCGAGCTTTTCGGGCGCATGCCTGTAGGTCTCTACTATTTTGCCCAACCTATCTCAAAAAATAAAAAGGGGTAGGGATGTAGCTCAGTGGTCAAGCAACTCGTGTTCAATCCCCAGTGCCAAAAGAAATTGTTTTAGAAAGAATCAAACCCATTTTTCCAAACACTTGGACAGGATAGTAAGAGGGTTGGGGTAAGTGTAGCTCAGTGGTAGTGCTCCGGGTTCCAGTACCTCCAAAACAAATAACCTGCTCTTTTCGAAAGTTGCGAAAATTTTTCTGAATTAGAGGGCCTTTAACTGTAAACATTAGGCCTCTGGAAGGAAATTATATGTTTAGTTTTCACAAGGCTGAGTTCTATTGTTAACTTATTTCGAGTTTTCCAATTATTTGAATGTAATAACCGCACTGCTGCCTAATTATCTTAAGTCTTCGGAAAAAAAAAATTTGACATTTAACTATTTTCCGACTTTAAAATCTCATGCAGTTTTGAGTGTTGCTATCTTCTATGAACACTAGATAGTGCATTCTAGTACACCTGGAGTATGGCAACATCTTTAAATTTTATAGAATGTTAGGAATGCTGGTGTAGTTCGAGTGTAGAGTGCTTGCCTATCATGTATGAGGCCCTGGGTTCCATTCCTAGCACTGGAAAAAAATAAAATAAAAACAAAAATATTACAGAATGTTTATTCACATTTCTTGAAATTTTCCCCATCACACTTTCAAACATACTAAAAAAGACTTTTATTATTAATCGAACTTAATAATATGCTATTATGTTTGAATCTCTCAGGCTGTCAGTTCCACAAGGACAAAAGAGGCAGCTCTGTGTATAAGTGTACAGAAATGCTGGATTTAATTTTGTTGTCAAAATGAATCCTTATGCCAACTATTATTTTTTTAAAAGAAACCAATAAAAATTGTAAAATGAAATTAGGCTGGCTTGTTTTCTTGCAAATACTTCTTTAACCATATGAATATATGATGTTTCAATTCTTCAATTAGAATATACCATGTGTGTTAAGCAATTTATCTTAATAACTGAACATATATTATCTTAAAACATTATTAACAGGGCTGGGGATATAGTTCAGTGGTAGACTGTATACCATGTGTGAGACCCTGGGTTCAATCCTCAGTACTGCAAACAAAACAAAAACCACCCAAAACACTCTTCTTATTAACAATCAGAAAGAAATAATACCAGTTGCTCTGAAAACATAAAGAAACTTATGTTGTAATTTAGAATTAAATATATATATATATAAATATTGAATACATTAATTCTAGATAACATTCTTTGAAGTAATTGCATTTCACATATATGGGGTCCAGCCAAGGTACATTTGGCATAATAAGTTTTCATCCGTAGCTTCTTGTATAAGGTAATGCACATGTCCTTCAATAGATAATGGCAATCCTGTCACTCTATTTCGGGTCTTGATTACACCTTGCAGTCGCTGCTCTATGTCAAGAACGTGGGTCTTGGCCTAAAAAGAAAGACAAAGTCATTAGGACTAATGACTCAATAACATGTGGTGTTGGTAATTTAGAATTTCTACTTTCTTGATATTTAAATAAATATCAACACTTTTTACTAATGATTACCCCTTTGAAACAGCAAATAAAGAAAAATCAAATTCAGTAGCGAGATATTGATTTTGAGGCTTGTTATATTAATTCAACATCAACTGATTGGACATGTTTCTGGACTTCATGAAATAGAGGGAAACTCTTTTCACATTATAATTCCAGAAAAGTAATAAATTTAAATAATTTGTTTCAAGGGCTAGGAAGTAGCTCAGTAGTGGAGCACTTGTCCAGGATGTGCAAGACCCTAGGATAAATCCCTAGGATCACACACACAAAAATACAAAACCAACAAAAAGGTGCTTTCAATGTGTATAGACATTATGTATTTGAATGAATATTCTAATAATAGCAATAACGCTCTAATAACCTAATACTTAAATTACATTAGCGCATACAAATGGAAATTCTAAGTGAGCTACTTAGAAAAAAAACTTCACATTTTTTTCTCTTAGGAAAACAGCATATCAGAATATAAAAATGAAAATGATGTTATCAGAAAAACAATCCTCAGGCTGGTGGTGTAGCTCAGTGGCACAGCATGTGCTTAGTATGCACAAAGCCCTGGGTTTAATCCACAGGACATATATCACATTTAAAAAAAAATCCTTAAATCTATTCTAACTTACTAAAAATGGTCATCTGTAAAATTGAGACTTAACTAATTTTAGTAAGGAATTAACTGCTACATTTTTCAAGATGGCTTATGGCACATATCACTGTAGTAAGGCTCAGATATGTTGTTCTGTAAACTCAGGCAATTTGTGTCCAAGTTTTTCCCACTGTTATTTCATAATTGTAAGATGTTTATGTTAAACAAGTATGCCTTGTTGTCTTTTATTACATCAATGCTATGTTAACATTAGAAATAACAATAAAGAAAACTTAGATTTCAGAGTAATCAACATTCACTTGAAATATTTAAGAATTCAGTATTCAGTTCTCATTTGTAAGACACACAGTATTAGTTCATATCAAGTTGCACCTTCTGCTAACCTTTTCATTGACAACTTCCCCAGTTTCATTCAGTGTTGCTTTGGAATGTCCTTTTACTGGCTTACTCCACTCCACAAGAGGATCATGTAGAAAAGTCTTTAAGACACTAAAATTGAAACATATGGTTAATACAATGATATCTTTGCAAAAAAGAAATCTTGCTACAGTCAACACTTAAGAGTTAGGTGAAGGATGAGAAGCTTAGTATAATACTCTGTAAGAGACATTACTACTTTTTCAGTAAGGTTATGTGAAATTTTTGTTTTGTCGTGCAGAGAAGGGAAAGATAGGGGAGATAGAGGCAAGACACAAGATGGTAGGAGGTGTTTTTTGAGGGCAAGATGAGTTCTGTATGCCATCTCTAAATGTATACCATGAACTGATAAATGAGTATTTACTGAATAAATGGATTTTATCCCCTGCCATATCATTAATGCCTTCAGTTACCACCAGATCTTTTGTCTGTGCTCTAGACATCAAATCCAACCACTTACAGGAAATACCCACTTGGATTTAATATAGGCACCCCAAACTCAGTATCTCTAAAACAAAACTCATTACCTTTTCCTAACTACTACTCTTGTATTCCCCAAATCAGTTAAGAACAATATTATTTTCCCAGGAAAAAAATCTAGTAATCATCCTTGCTTCCTCTTTCTCTATCATCTGATTCCACCTTTTTAGACTCTCTACTTATCTCCATCTCTACTGCTACAACATCCTCCAATGCACCATTGTTTAATACTTGGTTTCCACAATCGTCCTTAGTTTTCTGGCCTTTAGTCCAAACTCTAATTATTCTACAGTATAAACCAGATTGTCTCAATTCCTTCTCTTCTTTTTTGTTTCTTCTTAAAACCCTCCAATTACTTCTGGTTGCTCTCAGGGTATAGCTTAAATGTGAAAAGAAGCTTCAAGTAGTCCTGCGTAATTTAGCCATCATTTCTTAGCACCAACTCTTTGAGGGATAGCCTCTAGAATACAGTACAGTAGTCTTCTGTGTTTTGTAGTTTCAGTTACATGTGGTTTGAAAATATTAAATGGAAAATTCCAAAAAATAATCAATTTTTCAGTTTTAAATTGTACCCTTCTGGGTAGCATGATGAAATCTCCTGCTGTCCTACTACCCCTGCCCAGCATGTGACTCATCCTTTTGTCTAGCATATCCACACTGTGTACCACTCCACCTGCCTATTAGTCAGTCACTTAGCCAGCTGATCTATCAGAATGACTGTCATGAAATCCCAGTGATTATGTAAGTAACCCTTATTTTACTTAACAATAGCCTCAAAGCACAGGAATAGAGATGGTGGCAATTTTGTTACAGGATATTGTTGTAACTGTTCTATTTTATTATTAGTTATTGTTGTTAATCTCTTAGTGTGTCTAACTTATAAATTAAACTTTATCACAAATATATATATATAGAAAAAACATAGTACATATAGAGTTGGATACTACCCTTGGTTTTAGGCATCCCCTGGGAGTGATGGAACATTCGTCTATGGATACTGTGGATAAGGGGAGCTCTTGATTACATTTCTCAGGCAGGCCATGCCTTCACTTAATTTGATATTTTATCACTCTCAGGACACTCTTTTCCCCTTTGCACGGTCAACTCTATTTATCTTTAAGAAATCCAGCTACTTCAGAAATTATTTCCTGACTTCCCCAAATAAAACAAGGGCTCCTGGGTAAGTGATTCATAAATGAAATATTTCCTCTTTCAGAGGATTTGTTTTTCCTCATGTTTAACTAATATAACCAGTATATTCTACCACAATGTTTGGTAGAAAGATTTTAAATACCGGAAGTGAATAAAAGAGCTGAAAAGTCCTTTAAAAATCTGTTTCCCATAGCCTAATAGTTTACTTAGAAGTGAAAGACTTTTATCTCTAAGACCTACAGGACTATGCTCTTACCTGATCTATTTGACATAGATCTAACTAGGACAGTTAGGCAAGAAAAAGAAATAAAAGGCACTGAAATTGCAAAGGAAGAAATAAA